GGTGCAAATCCAGGATCAGTAGCTGAAATGAAGCTCCTTAATTAAAAATTTAGGCACAAATCGAATTTTGTTTCAAATTTCAGATAGAAAAAATCAAAAAATTTTATGCAAAAAAATTTATAAAAAAAATGAAATGTTAAATACACATACAGTAATATAATTCAATTCGGTTTGCACATGTAAAAGAATTGCTTAATTAGGTAAAATTTACTATGCTCTACTACTACATCTAACAGAGGCAGTAAAACACTAGAAATAGGGGTAAAAGTTGTGCAATGCATAAATAGTTTGTTTTTCACGTGAAGGTTTACAGTTCAAATCCCAAAGTGAGATAAATTTTCTTACAAACTGATAATTCATCTGATAATGACTAAAAATCAGCGCAATTAAAAATCATTAAACAGCGATTATAAAATTTAAAACATTTAAATATGATATGACGCTTTCGATCGAAGACTGCCGGCTTAGATATCAAACGTTTAACCTCAAATGTTGCTTTGTCCTCAATTATGAATCCACAAGACAGGTGTACTTCACCGGAAAGAAACAAAAAAGAATATCAGTCTTCGTGACACTTTTATGATAGGACCATTTCTGATGCCCTTCTTTTTATGTGTGGGTGTAAGTCACTGGTTACTGCATGGTACCAGGAAATATTTTTCAGCAGCAGATCTGTCCCCATCTTGTTTCTCCAGGTTGCATTGTGACATCCCTGCCAACGTCTGTCGTGTTTCGGTTCCCAAACGAGAAGCTCGCGGGTTGAAGTAAATCGTTACTTCTCAACCAGTTTTTTTAACGTCCTTTCCTTAATCTCCACGTCTATTCAAGTCACTTCAGGATGGAAGACAAAGGAGTCATTTCTTACTTGATTCTATCATTTTACCCCCATTATACGCTTAAGTCTGTTCATGAAGTTAATGATGATGTCCGACCTTTCCATGTCATCAATCAGGACTGCCTCATTTTAACAGCAGAGTCTACAGCACCTGTGTAAAGGATAGTAATGTGTAAACTGCCGTTTCCTTCAAACAGAATGGTACTCATA